CAAATAAGGCTTTCCCGTCGTTGGAAGGCCTTCGGCGGTTCGGGCGGACGTTGTATCGGACGTTGAAAGTCCGACTTTTAAATCGAAAATTTTTATTTATTTCCAACCCCTCTCCCCTCCCTCTATTTATCTAGAAATCCCCCTCTCTTTTATATTATATTTTTATTAGGTCCCTCTCTCTTTTATATTATATTTTTATTATTTATCATCTTTTTTAAAGTTTAGACTGACGAGATTCGAACCCAGTACCTTAAGTGTTGGAGGTCGATACTCCAAACCACTAAACTACTCGAATTTTTTGATAATAACTTACAAATAAATTATATTTATATACAAATAAATATATATACGTGTAAATATATAAATATATAAATACAAATATATTTATAAATTTTGATATATTTATATAATTATATATTTATATGTTGGATGTGAGGGCACGCTCGAAGGTGAAAGTGTGTCGAGTGAGTTTTCAAAATTTGATGTCAAATTTGTGAGCGAGTCTCTTTATATGGGTTTGTAATTTAATGACAGAATATAATATTTATAATTTATTAATGATATAAAATAAATATGAGAAACGCATCATTCGCTCGAGCGAAAAATACCAATTTTCGCTAAGCGAGGCTTCGAACGAGTGAATTTCCGTGAGTTTTAACGTATTTTCACTCAAGCGAGAGTCAATCTCATTTTCATCCTCGAACGCGCCTTCACATCCAACATATAAATATATAACTATATAAATATATATAAATATATAAATATATATAAATATATCAAAATATATAAATATATTTGTATTTATATATTCTATATTTATATATTTACACGAATATATATTTATATGTATATAAATATAATTTATTTGTAAATTATTATAAAAAAATTATAGTAGTTTAGTGGTTGAAGTATCAATTTTCAACTCTAAAATACAGGGTTCAAAAATCCCTGTTAGTGACAATTCTCTAACTTAAGTAAATTTTTGGCTAAAAAAATAAAAACACTTTCCGAAAAATATAGATATTTACACGGATATATATTTATTTATATATAAATATAATTAATTTGTAAGTTATTATCAGAAAATTACAGGTAGTTTAGTGGTTGGAGTATCAACTTTTAACTCTAAAATATCTGAGTTCAAATCCGCTGCCGTGACAATTCTGAACTTAAGTAAATTTTTGGTCGAAAAAAAAATAAAAACACTTTCCGTAAAATATATATAAATAAATATATATTTACACGGATATATATTTATTTGTATATAAATATAATTAATTTGTAAGTTATTATCGGAAAATTACAGGTAGTTTAGATGGTTGGAGTATCAACTTTCAACTCTAAAATACTGGTTCGAATCTGTCGAGTGACAATTCTTGAAATTAAGAGAATTTTTGGGTGAAAACACATTAACGTCTAGCTCCCGGATGAACCGACGTTGAATGTCAAAATTAAAAGACTTTTCAACGTTCGGCTCATCCGGGAACCGAGCGTTGAATGTCTAAATTAAAAGACTTTCAACGTCGGCTCATCTAGAACCGACGTGAAAAGTAGCTTTCTACGTCTGGCTGACTAAGAACCGACGTAGAATGTGTCCAACATTCCACTTTCAACGTCGTTTTTTAACCAACCGACGTTGAAAGTGTATTTAACGTCGGCTCAGCTTTAACCGACGTTAAATGGCGACGTTGAAAGTATATTTTGTAGTAGTGTTTGGTCGTTAGAACCAGAGTTCGGTAAGGGAGTTAGTTACGTGTAAAGGAAGTGTTAGTTCCTTTACGACGCCCCTTTCGGGTTCCCTATGATAGGCCAGCTATTTAAAAATATTTAAACCGATGAAAATTATGCTTTTACCCTTTTATTCTGCGGAATTTAAAATTATGAATACATGGCCCTAGTATCTATTGCATAATTTAAAATTAAAGCGATAAAAGTAGAGAGGGAGAATATAAACCTCTAAAGCATGCTTTTATATTAATTCTTAAAAAAAAAGGGTGCTTTGTGGCAGCCCCTCACTCTACACAGCGTCGGGAACTTCTTGAAACGCCGAAAAACACTCACAGAAACACTTAAAAGCTCCAGAAATGCGTCGGAGGGATTCTAGAGAGAGAAACTTAGGTAATTTCTAGAGAGAAGGAGGAGAAACTGTGTGGAAATGAGGGAATGGCGCCCCCTATTTATAGTTTTTCGCGCCTGACAGGTCGAGACCGCCGTCTCATCTAACAGGGTCGAGACCGCCGTCTCGTCAACCGGGACCGCCGTCTCGCCCTGCCAAAGTTGCGAGACCGCCGTCTCCCCAAACGAGACCGCCGTCTCTCCCTTCGCAGGTGGCGAGACCGCCGTCTCGCCAAACGAGACGGCGGTCTCGCCATTTGCATGAGGCGAGACGGCGGTCTCGATTTCGAGACGGCGGTCTCGTCCCAAGAGGGCAAGAAACCTTATTTTTGTGCCAAAAATCCCTCTTATCCTAGTATGGGGCCTAATAGTCTCTCCTAGTGGCTTGTTAGGCTTCGTCCATCCTCGAATAGGAGGTCTTCTACTCTTTATTTGGAGGTGGGGCAAGATTTGGGGTCTACAGCAATAAACCAGTTTTATCTCGGATAGTCTGCCTTTTAGCTAGCCTAGTTTCAGGTTCTTTGTAAGCTAAGTAGCCACGCAGTTCGACAAAAGAGATAAAAGGTTATAAAAATTAAATAACCCAAATAAAAAAGGCAAAGTAATGAATTTTGAATAAAACGATTTTTGACATAGTCAAATCATTCATATCACATCATGTCATAAGTGGAAAAACCATGAGAGAAAATAAATACATAAGAAAAGTATGCATAAACATCATTTTAATAATCTCTCATACATAGACACATTCATGTTAGGGGGCATTAGATATCTCTAAGACAAAGACGAAAAAGGCCCCGAGCACATTTGTAACCATCCACAAGGAAGGGACAAATGTACTAAGGTATATGGTGATCTTCGTTATACTTGTCAAATTCGTGATGGGGAAGGAACCATTACACCAAAGTGGGTAGGGCACCCCGTAAAGCGTAAGCTTTAAGGATGATACCTAAGTCATTATCTTAGAAGATACTAGTCCCACACCTATCATTCATTTCCATTAATAAAATTCATTCTTGGGCATCTTAGAAAGTGGCTGGT